CTAAGTAGCTCTGAAGGCTCCCCGGCTCTCATCTAGCCAGAAGGGATCCAATTAAAATGAGACACTAGTCAAAATGGCAAACCACAATCATTTTAAAAACCGTTGTGCAATAGATATGTAACCACATATAAACCACACAATTACTGAATAAATTGTGCAATACTTGCAAGCCTAAAGCCTAAAACTCACTCAAAGTGCAGCCTCACCTCTCAACCAAAAGTATATTTAGAACTTGCAATGAATAATAAAAATCCCATTTCCTTTTACAGGAGAAAATACAACCATGGCATATCTAAAATGTGTGCAATTTAGACCACGATATACAATAAGGGTGTACATGCAGAGAAGTCCAGGGACTCTGCTGACTGTAGAGCACAGGGATCTCTCAGCCAACACAGATGCCAGCTGATAAGTCCATGCAACACTGAACTGCACAAACATGTCTCTCTTGCTTCCAGATCCAAGCAGGGTCACTGGCAACCACTTCAAGGGTCTCTGCAACTGTGGTGCCTTTTAAGCTGGGATCCTGGTGATCCACTTAAAAATTTTTCCTCTGGTAACTATCACAAGCCTTTAGAGAGCATTGGTAAGTCTCTCTCTCACTCGCACACACTCATCCCTACATAAAGTCTTTTGTTTCATTTCAATTTACTTGCTTCAAAAATCCAAACTTTTCCATTCTGGTTCTGAAAGGATTTTATCTACCTGTGGAAAATAAACAGGTATTAATAAAACATTGTTGAGTGGGAGCCTAAATTAAAAACTGAGACAGCTGAACATTTCAGATGATGGTTTTCTAAATGAGCTCTAACTCAAACATAATTCAATCGATCTTCTTGGCTTCTGCAGAAAATTATCCCCCTCTTTGCCACCTGTTAAATGCACTTTTCCTAACCAAAGCAACGGGAACACTACTGAGTACTTAGTCGGAGCACAGCAAGGTAATACTGTTTCAAAGGCACTTCAGTATTTTTTAGCTCAATCTTATTGCTTTTGTAATGAAAACTCCAAGTTTCCCCCCCACTTCAAAGTTAAATTTCCGCGGTAAAAAAGGGATTCGAAACACGTAAGTGTAAGGAATGGCACACTCCTTCGGGACCACCCGTGCAGGGGTGGCTGGCATCAGTGTGCCACCAAGGGGGAGCCAAGTTGCTGGTGGGACACCAGTGCAGAGGGATGTCTGGGGAAGGAGGGACCAGCACTGACCACTGGTTGCTCTCTCTGGCTCCAGCCCAGCAACGCCTCTATCTCTGGAGCAGGGAGATCCTATCAAATCCTGCACCCCCTCTTCTGGGTCTGCCATGGATCTGCAGAGCGAAGGACCCTTTTTGTGGAAGCTGCTGCACATCCAGTGTATTTGGCATATGCATAGCGCTCCGTGAGCTTTAAAGTTCCTCTACCTCTGTCATTTTGTGTGACAGATGATCTCCTTTAGACTAAAATTTGCACAGGAAAGTTCCCAAGAGATGATTGTGTTACATGATTTCCAGTGTTCTTCCTCCCTTACATCATCTGTGAAACGAGCAGAAGAATGGTAAGATCTTTACATTTCCATTTGTGCATTACTTGAGGAGTGAAACGCAAACGTGTCCTGTCCTACAAAACTCAGAAAAACAAAGGCTTGAGTATTTCGGTCATGGGAGAAGAAAGAGTAATTAAAATAACCAAGCAGAGTAAAAATATCCTCATTTTTCTGCCTGGTTCCACCTGGGAGATGACAAGGCAGGTAGCAAAAGCGCAGCAGTTTCCTCAAGAAAGCTTTCTCCCCACCAGCCCCCATGCCGCAGTGCCTGAGGCGCTGCAGTCATTTTCCGAGGTAAGCAGAGGGAAACGCTGGAGAAGTGCGGAAGTACCACAGTGTGGTAACACCTGGTAAATGTCTTTCTAAACATAACAGTATAAGCAAAAAAGGTAGAGTACCAAGAAGTAGCAGTTTTCACCTGTAAGAAAGAAGATAGCTGAGCTTGGAGAGAAGGCCCAAGAAAAGGAGGACAGAATTATCTAAAGCAGTTTGCACATCTCTGAAAAAAGTCAGAGATGTTAAACTATCATTACCTTCACTTCCTGAAACTGTGACTTCACATGATGCCAGCAGCTGCAGAGAGACAACGTGCATCGCTAGGGGTTGCCATTCGCGTCCCCAAAATTAAAGTTTTTATTGCTTACAATTACCTCCTAAATAACTGATGTGTGGCAGATTTGTTCAGGGATTTTATATCATTATTTATTAAGTACTTGATATATACTAGTTGACTGAGCTTTGCTTAATAACACATAGCTAAGAATGTGTAAATAATAAAAGCAAATCCGTTACATCCTCTCCACGTAAACCCATTTTGTTGCAAGTATGCTTTTGCCTCTTCAGTCCACTACTCTTCACCTTTTTTTTCGGTCTGCTAGGTTTCCATCTTCCACAACTGAGCATTAATCCTTTATTACAGTGCTTCCCTGAGTTGCCTGTCTGAGATGGGGGAGGTCCTCCCAGTCACAGCTCCCCACTATGGCCAGGCATTTCTTCATCCGGAGGACGCACTGGATCACACTTTGAACGCGGAACAGCTGCCCCCCTCAATGTCTCTTAGCAAGATACAGTGCCTTACAGGTTTTTTTGCCCTATAGCAGTTCACAGAGTGAGGTTCAGCAGAGCTGCAGAAGAAGGCAGCAAAGAAGTGAGTCCCAGCCATTTGAAGTCAATGCCCTGCATTAGTACATGTCCTGGGAGTTTTGCTATTGTTTGCGTGTTGGCTGTCAGCCCAAACCTCAAAGCAGCTTGACTAAAAGAAGGCTCCAGCACGCACGGGAACAAAGTCTTATCCGTGGATCACAGGTATAAGGGTTAGCTCAAACAGAGAAAAGGTTTTGCACAAGTCCTTCAGCTAGCCTGGGCAACAGCTGAATGTGGGTTAGTTGCACAAATCATCCATCGGGGAACAAAAGGATGACACAACACAAGTCACGTATGTTCTCAACAAGCAATTTGAGATTCATCAGCAGGCAAATCACTCGCTGATGAAATATGAGAAAAAGAATTGCATTTAACTAAGAAATGTTAGGACTTTGTTCACTGACTCACCACATGTAATCATATACAGACATAAAAGGAAAAGGCACCAAATAAGTTACACATTGTAAAATTACATTCTAAGCTGAACCTCATATGGTGTCAAACCTATTACTTATCTAGCACGTGCCTTTTTACAAACGCTTCTCTGGCTATATGAAAAAATAATCAAGGATTTGGGAAAGAAATCTGTCCTTATTACAGCCCTTCTTCCTTCTCTGTTACAGGAATGACGTGCCAAGCTCGAAGTTCTTATGTGACCAGTGAGATCCTGTGGGGTTATCGCTTCACCCCTGTCCTCACTCTGGAGGATGGATTTTATGAGGTTGACTACAACAGCTTTCATGAAACGTATGAGACCAACACACCAGTTTACAGTGCCAAAGAACTGGCAGAGATGGCCAGCCGAGCAGAACTGCCCCTGACGTGGTCTGTTTCCAGCAAGTTAGACCAGCATGCTGAACTGGAGACTGAAGAGGAGGAAAAGAACCAGGAAGACCAAAACGAAAGAAATGGTGATGTGGCAAACTTAGAGAATGAGTCCAAAGTTTAGAAAGACCAGAGGGATGAGGGCCATGCAACCTTCTCCCTCTTTGCTCCCCTTTTCTTTCTGTCCCTCCTACACACTTTTTTCTTCATTGTAAGTCTTAATTCTGGGAAAATAAATATTTGAGACGTGAAATATCTACCTGCCCAATTTAAAATCAAGAGATTCATAGACTAAACAAAGATGCAGGTTAAAGCTGCAATACCCATTATTTTTAATGGAATCTCTGGTCCCCACCCTGGTAACAGCTACTCATTTCCTCTGCACGTGTCTGAGCTCAAACCTCCAGATTCATTCAAATGAACAAAAAAATAAAAAAAAGCCACTGGGATATATAATGGGGATGCTAAAGGGAAAGACTCATTAACGTTCATCAAAGCAATGGACCTTGGCTCCAGCTTTTATAAATCTCAAGACAGTTTCATAAACTGGATGACCAGCCTCCATAAAATGGACATTGCAGCTTTAAGGCAAAGGTGAGCAGAGGGTTCTGCAATCCAACAAGATACTGTACATATGCCTTATGTAACTACTTTCTCTTTACATTTAGTAATAAAGACAGCATGTACAAAAGTACTGTAGTAAAGAACTTCTAAATAATGTACATAGATGTGTAATTAACATAGGTTTAGAAACAGAATTCTAGAAATGTTGGGATGCAAAAACAAACTACCCATTAAGTAGGCATTTCTGTTCTAATATTTGGAGTGTATTATTGATTTTCTCCCCCTATATCTATGGCTCTTCTAGTGCATGACAACTTCTTAAGTGTACCAGACTGGCAGCTATTTAGAGAACCTCACTGTTTCCCAAGCAGATCATTTTACTGACTCTAAAAAGCCATAAGTCTGGGAGAGGGCAGGGTATAGAAATTGTAACATAATTACTGATATACTGTGAAATTGTTTACAAATAAGGTAAACTACTCCTGGTTATTTCTTTGGCAGTTCAACCTAAATTTAGACTGCTGCAAACTCACGGCAAACAAGAGTGTCCTGTGTACTCTTAGTATAATAAGCATGTTTCATGTTGAGGTGTTACCCTTTATGTGAAATACGTAAGAAAACTTCTCCCTTCTCCCCACCTAAAAACAACTGGGTTAAAACTATGTAGTTTGCTACATAAATAGCACAAGCCATTGAAAACTGAATGTTGCATCACGGTAAGTAAATTTTATCTATTCCACTGGGAAAGAAATAGCTGAATTTCACCTGAAGCTGTAATCAGTGAAATTCATTTGTTAGCAACACTGGTACTTTGTTGGTCCTGAAGAGTCACAAAACATATGACATCCCTGGGTATGCTTCAGCCGGGTTTCTCAGCTAAACACATGGTTCCTGCCACCTTTACTCAGGAGAGTGGTTTCCTAACCATTTTCTTTACCTTAGGTTAGCTCCTCAGCTGCTGTAAATCATCATAAATCCTGTAAATCACAACGTAACAACTTTGAAATAAACAGGACAGTGATAGTTTACAGAGCTTACACAGCAAAACTCACATTAGTAGGGGAGCAGATCTGTGCTGTAATAATTTCACAGCCATGCTCTGCACGGGGCTGCTCACACAGCACAGCACTGCCCAGCGTGAAGGTCTGCTCGGTCAGGCCCAGCGTGCAGAAAATACTACCTGTTCAAAAGTGATTGCATTGCTCACACTGGGGAGGGCTGTTCACAGTGGGCCCATCAGGAACAGCACTTCCATCAGCGAAGGAGAACAAGCTGCAACCTTAATTTTGTTTTATACCTGTTCTGGAAAGGAAGAGCACACTGAAGAGAATCCAACGTATTTTTGTATGTAAACATTTACATTAAAATAGAAGAGGAAAAAAAAAAAAAACCCAGGAGACACTACTTAGTGGGCAGGTGGAAGTTTTGCACTGTGATATAGCTTTCACATTAATTTCACACCTGTTTTCTATTTTTTGCTGAAACAACAGCCCCTTTCTAATTTTCACGGAGTGTGGCTGATCAGAGGGGGTTTTGCAAGTCCTCTAGCCATGCTGAATGTGGTGGCGGGAAGAGTAGGGTGTGGGGGAAAAGGTTTGCACACCAGGGGCTGACAGATCGAACTGGCTCAAAGGTGTCTTCTGCTTCAGCTCTGCACACTTTTCTGAAAGGCTTTCACAACACAGCATGAAGTAAGTAGTGGTGCAGAATATGGATTTTGGTTCCTTCCGCCAGGATGACCGATTTTAGCAGCTAAGCAAAGATTACCTACACTTAACTTCTCTGAAACAAAATTCATTCGGCTACGGACCTTTGAAAACAGCCTGGTATTCTTGGTCTTCTGCCACAGCATCAGAGGTGGCCGAGTACTTCACTTCATATACCACAACATATCCATGAGGCTACTCGCAAGACCCAAAGGGGTGAGGAGCCCTTCTTAAGGGAAGGGTCACTCCAGAGCTCCTCAGGATGGTAGAGCTTTATACTAGAGAGCCCACAGGCACTGCTCGGTCAGGAGCAGAGCGGCCCGTGTGTGCCGGTCTGTCATCCTAGCAAAAAGCGCGGGAGCTGAAAGCAAAACGTTCCTCTGAGGATAAAAGTGCTTTTGGCTCTTGCCATTTCCTGGGCCACTCTATAATTCATTGCTGCAGTTTAACAAAAGTTGACATTAACGAAAGTAGCAGCTCAGGGCCCTAAACTTTTTTGTGTCCTTTAGCACAAAAAAATAGACTTTACGCCAATGGGGCATGTGCATGTGTAAGCTATATTTTTGTGAATAGGGCACTTAAAGCTTAAGGTGTGCGTGTGTTTGTCTCTTTCTTTCTCTCTCCCCTTGTATTTTATTGCCTTTAGTATTAATGTAGTACAGATTGTAAAGTTTATGAAATCTCCTTTTTTGTAACATAAGCTTAAAAAAAATAGAAGCCTCCAGAGCTTTCAACAGGAAGCTTCACATAAACTTTGTACTAGAATGTCCCTATCAAACACCTCTATTTTTCTACAATGATTGATTAAGCAGTTTAACAATGTATTTTGTGTCAATGATTTCACCTGAACTGGTAAAAAGACAATTAAGAATTGAATGCTGTTAATTAACAATGGATTTTCAAGACGTATATACCGAGTGGTGTGTTCATTACTAGAGTAAATACCTTACCTTGAGAACTTCATCGCCTAGTCCTAAACTATATATTTTGAAATATCAGGGCCCTGCAGGCGTTCTGTTGGCAAATCACATTTAAGGAACATGAATAATGTAGCGTTTTTATATAATTGACTACATGATTAATCAAGATCCGCTGCATCTTTATATATTTCACTAATATATTTTGATGTCCTTGTCTCAGAGTATCTTGTGATTTTCAGGAGCAAAAGAATTTTGAGAGATAAATGAGAGCTTGCAGTAATCCCTTGCAGTGCTCACTTCATTCTTCGATGGATAGAAATGCCACAGAGATGCTTTCATGCACGCTGTTACATAATCCTCTCTCTCCCAATCTCTCTCTGCTTTTTTTTTTTTTTTTTTTTTTAAATAGTATACTTAAGGTTTCTTCCTCCACAGCTTCCAAACCTGATCTTTCAGCTGGTGATAGTGGACACAGACATATTGCTTTTAATGGAGCAGCTCAAATTTGTAACAGGTGAGAATCTGACCTTCAGCAAATACTTCAACTTCTGACTATTTAGGAATAAAGACCATCTTAACAGCATTCAAATTATTTTGAAATAATCTATGAAATTTAATATCACAAAAATGCAAAAATTCTCTCAGAAGTATATGACAGTTATGATCTAGAACTTTGCCCTACAAAACCATAGGCATTGGCACTGATGTGAGCCATCCCAACAAACTTAACTTCCCAATAAATCAGTCACATAGTTGGTTTTATGAAAGGCCTTTTTGCAAGTTGGAGGTATCTACACTTGCCCCATCCACACGGCGAATTGCACAGCCCTCTGTTAGAGGTCTGCGCGTCTTCTACCATGCGGAGGAAGCACGAGGGGTGTCGGAGAAGGGTCCCCAATGAGCAGTTGCTGAACTAGGTAGACCTATAAGCTTGAGAAAATCTGAGACAGATGGTTTGAAGGTAACTTCAAGACAGGCTCTGGCTTCACATCCCTAACTCTAGTACACAGAGGCACCCAGTTAGTCTGCCATCCCCCATATTCCTGTACTGGAGTTATATACTAAATTCACACCTTTCAAAAACAAGGAAGGAATCTCTCTTCTCTTTTCAACGGCAGGACAGAAGTTCCCATTTATCTCAATTGCATGGTATTTACATTATTCATGAGGATACGGGAGACCTTGCATTCAGTGCTCTCTTCAGCCCAGGGAGGTTCAAAGCCATGTTCCACTTCTCCCAAGAGATTAATCCAGCCATAACAGTAAAAACAGGGCCCCAACCATTATGTCAAAGTCAGACAAGCTCTTGAATTCTTCCCCTAGCCCAAAGAAATTTTAAATCTTTTCCTTAAAAGTGATGCATTTTTAACAGAAGAATGGGAAATTCCTCACTCCTTCAATCCGTAACAGCCTCTATCCCACTGATGAGGGCACCCACTTGCTACGTGGCAGGTAGGGGTGCAAAATCTCTGAGGCTGAGAAAGGCACAGATTTCAAGTTTCTCACATCCTGGACGAGCACTTTCAGCAGTCAGCATCACCATACCTTTTGCTTATGTTTCTGAATGGAAGTACCTACTGTTTCTCCCAGGGAACTAAATCCTGTAAGGTTTGGGCTTGATGTGCTGTGAACACATCTGCCAAAGCAATCTTCCTGAGACGTACAGGTGCAGCAATGCCAAGTCATTTTATCTGGCTCCAGCTTTGCTGTAAGATAGGTATACAGCTGCCCAGCCCTGACACAACAGCAGATATATTCTGTTGTACCCATAAATCTTTTCTGGCAGATGAAAGGGGTTTCTGGGACTTAAGTCTTTTGTAGATTTGAATTTAAGCAAAATTTACACCACCTGCTTCAATTATTTAATTTAGACATGAATCAGAGCATAACTTCCCCATATGGTGATGGGAGAGTCAGCCACCTCAGGGTGGGACATTTCTTAGTAGCTAAAGGCAGAGGTTCTGAATGTGAAACATCATCAACTTTTTACTATTACTGTACTTTCCCTCTATCAAAGTAACTGTGTTTCCAGAGTATCAGCCACCTTAACAATGACTTTACCTCACTAAGATACTATTTAGGCTATAAATCAGACATGATAAAACAATAAAGTTGTCTTCCCTTACACTCTTGTTCCTTCTACAGCATGCACCTGTAAAGCACACATAGATTTGGGCTTTGTGCTGTAAATAATTCTTAAAGACAAGATCTGAAAGTTATTTATTATTCATATTAAATGATGCTTTTTTTATGCTTCCCAAGTGAATTTTAAACTTCTTGTATTTGGCTTTTTTAGGGGAAGGGAGGGGAGCTGTTTGACATTCTAGAGCACATTTTATTCTGCGTATTTAGTTCAAGATCACTTCCACCCACTGTCATTTTTTCAGCTCCCCTGGACTTCTAGAAATCATAATATGATGGTAACTTCAGTGTTATGGAATTACTTATTCTATCACTTGCCATTCTTCCATTTATTTACTCTGTACTGATTATTTACTTCACTTTCATATTGATAGACTACAGACATCATATCCAGAGATAATTTTCTAAAAAGATCTAAATACCTTGCTATTTCATCTCAAGCACGAAATCTGATTTCTATTTTAAGCAAATTCACAAGTATAAAACATATTTCTTCCCTCATCCTCCCTAACCTGTGTATTATCTGCAAAGAATAAAAATTCAAGAGTTTCAAGTTATACCAAATGCTTTGAATTTTTCTCTCAGAGGGCAGGACTGGGGATAGCCCTCTCCAATCCTTCATTCTTTAATCAAAGGCAGCAGCCAGGAGCCCCAAACTCACAGCTGCAGTTCATGGGCAACCCTCTGGAAGCTGAGGGTACTGTCCTGCTAAAAGCTTTCTTTGAAGTCTTTATCAGCGAGACTTCTAACTCATAGAGCTGTTTCCCCTCAAATGATTATAGCCTTCATTAACAATTACTCACTCTAACTTTTCTGGATGGTTTCAGCCAGATGAACTGTTGGAGAACTGTTACTCCACAACACTTACCCACATACTTTTCACAGCCTGTTGGACTGGAGTCCTCATGGCCTTCTTCCAGCTTAGGGAGAGCACCTGGCGGGTAGGCAACAATCCTCCCATCCACGCTGCCTTGCCTCTTCCCCAACATCAGGGCCATGAGGACCCAAATTCCTCACTGATACATCCGTATTAAAGGATGTGATGTGGTGCTTCACATGGTCATGTTCGAGCTCCGGGAGGACAGCAATGTGGTGTTTGATTCACCTGGCACGTGCAGCATGTCATACCCAGCCCATTTGCTGAGGCGAGGAAATGGAGGGGGAATACTGCACCATTAGCAGAGCTTTTAGATACCTGAGGAATCTTTCAAAGAACGAAAATCTAATCAAATTAGAGTCAAAGTAAAAAATAGCTTTTTCTAAAAAAACCAGATGATCTCTTAATGTAAAATCTCTAATATGAAAATACCAGTAAACCTAGGAGTGGGGAACCCAATCTGCTATATTTTGAAGTCATTTGAATGAAACTTGTTCAGGCCATGAAGAAAGTTCCTTTTGACAGCAACAATTGGCTCATATGGACGGGATGCTGGAGCTAACCTCCTTAATCTCTTTTTTGCAATTTTCAGAACTGCTAAACACATAACAGCTCTCACTAAAATCAACGGGAACTAGCAGGCATGCTTCACAAAAGAGACCATCTGCTGAGGTCACTGCAGAAGAACTTTGTGCTCCTTTTTCTCCAGTTTTTAAATTCTCTTAGAGAGATGATGGAATAAGGCCTCCACCTCACTGAAATACTATCAGTGTCAAATACATGCAAAAGTCCTAAAGAAGCCAAAGGCAGCATGTTTACATACTTGAGTACTGCAGTAGATTTTAGGCACACATTTTCGTGTACATAGGCACTAGTGAACGTTGAAGGCACTGTCAAATGCGCTAAAGACATTATCAAAGGAGAGAGGAAGTTAATTCAACTTTCTCAAAGGCAATTTGTCTGAAAAGGGGTTAAGGCACAGCAGTGGGGCAAGCAAAGCTTGCACTAATGTGTATCTTCGGTAGGGAAAGGAGCAGTGCTTCACTTAGCAGACAAGCCAGTAGTCCTCATCATCTCAAACACAGGAAAACAAGATAACCTGCTTTCTAATCAAGAGGTAAAATAGTTCATAACAAATACAGAAGATCCCTGGAAAGGAAGAGGAAGAAATTCAAATAAGTACATAGTCATATAGGTGAAACCAAATGAAAGTCTTGGCCAAACGGCAGGGACACTGAAATCAAGAGTCAAGCAGATGCTGCTGGCTTTTTTTTTCTTTTTTCCCCCCCCCATCTTTTATACATATGCTTCATTTCCTTGTCATGTAGAAAATTATTGTTAATAAATATAATAAAGCAAAGCATAATCAAAGCCATTGCTTAAAAATCTTAGCATTTAAATCACATTTAGTACTTTTTTTCCTGAGATGTATTAAATTCATACTGACAGGAGATGGTATTGCTTATGAACAGACTGAATTTGAAAGAAAGGGGAAAAATGCTCATGTTAAAAAAATCATTGTGCGCCTTCAATTTATGGGCTTTTGCTTCTAATGGCAAGCTAGAAATTAGGTGTCTACTACTACCTACACTAGTGATTGTAAAAAAGCTTTTATCCCTCAGAGACATGAATTCAAAATGAACTTGATGAAAAATCTCAGCAAGATCACCCAACTTCATAACTAATAAATATAAAAGGAGTCAAACTTCTGACTAGCCTCATTTCCCAGAAAAGAAACTACTTCCTCATCTAAATCAAAAAGGAAAAAAATGACAGAAAAAGGAAAAACAGATTTTTTTTTCCCTGAGAAATCACAGAGGAAAATGCAGTTTTATCTCATAAACTTATATAAGAATTTTCTTTTTCAACAACAGTGTTTGCTCTCTCTTTGTAGCAGCGCTCTGAGTTGCTGAATAGTTGCATGGCCATAAAAATATGATGTCTCAAAAGGAACTCTAGTTTCATAAAGA